AATATTCTGTTCGTATGGTTTGTCTCTCCCATTGTCTTGATTCCGTCGATTTCCTCAATCTTACCCAAAAAGTAAATTTGTTTTCCATCTCAATTTAAAGACATAGCCACTACTTTTTCATGGACCACGGATTCAAATCCAAATGGATGAAGTGAATCATTCAAAATATTGCTTTGTTTCAGTTGACTCTTGCAAAGACATACTTCATCAGATTAATGTAAATTCAGGTTGCACTCGTTCTGGATAGGTTTCTGCTGATTGTGTTTGTGTTTGGTACAGCGTTTGTTTCGTTGGCGATCATTTATCAAAGACAACTATGCATCGGATGAACTTTCATCTCTACTCCAGCACCACAACCTTTCCATACGATCATGATTTCTTGTCGTGAACTGTACAGTGAGATTGAATTTCCGAAATCGAATTGCAAATGATCATGTTCAGTTGCTTTTTTTATTCATGCTCATCCGATAAACTCAATTTGTTTATGAAATTGTCTGGCATCTGTAACGTGTCAATCATTACAAACTTACGATCATGAGATGCACTGTACGAATTATGCGCTGCAATTATTTGATAAATAAGCCATCTTCTTNAAAGTTCTGACAAACTATTCGAATAGTTTCTTTTTCGAATAACGAAGCTTCTCCTTATGCATTGTTAAATAATGCTCAACAGTCCCTCTTTATGAAGATTAGGCTTTGTTTATATTCCCTTCTGAAATTTCAGCGTACTACTTTGCTGCAGAATTCACTGCCTGCCATGTGTGTTGATTTTTATTGCACTCTTCCTTCAGCAATCACAGCGTTTTGCTGCATCGCAAATAAGGAGCAATCAAAAATGGTCGCTTTCGCAACCGATTTCACTTTTAACTTCTGTTCGGTGTGAAAGATTACAGGAATAAACCAAATTTCTAATTGAACTCGAATGTGGTGAATGGTTCATGTGTTTCACATTAATGTGATCACATTTGCAACTGTCCATTTTACGAGGTCGATCTCCGAATCATTTTCCCTCTCGATGAGAAGTATTTCGGCGTAATCTATCCTCTCGCAACATTCCTCCATAGCCAAGATCGTCTAAAAATTTGCGTGATATATTCATTTGTTTTTACACTGTTGTTTCAAAGAATTGAAAGCAATCGCGTTTTCACTTTAATCTATTGGTCAATGCAAGAAGCGTTTCTTTGATTGTATAGGTTCTTTGTGTAATTAAAGGCGCCTCATTGCGTCAGATATTATTTTAAAAAAGTTTGTATTGAAGAAGTCGACTGGGAACCGTTTGCTTCTCATGAGTGATGATTATTCAGTAAAAACAAATTGAATGAATAAATCGGTTCTTATTACGAAAGCGTATCAGCGATTTAATTTGGAACATCTGTATTGCAAGTGAGTGGCGTGCGATCAAGGATGGTTTTTAGTATTTAGTTTAGCTGAAATTTGTTCGGAACAGTTGCTTGTACCTATATCTTCATCATAATTTTCTCAGGCATCCTTGATTCTCAAACTGTACAAAGCAAGACATCCATATAGTTATCTATACCCATATCGATGTCTTGCTTTGTACAGTTTAAGATCTAAACGTTCAATTATTATCAAAGCTATTGTCAAGTTAGACTTTCAGACGCTGAGTTAAGGTTTCATTCAAATCAGGGGCATTTGTCACATGAGCATCTTGTCTTTTCCTTCTGCTCACTTGAATGAAAGCGACCGATGGAGCCAGAACTTCATTGCCATTCCCGTGTTGTATCGCACAGCTGCATTCCAAAGTGCTTTCAAAATATTGTTTACTCTATCGATGCACTGTTGAACGCAGACTGCAGGTCTAATTATAAGTGATAGCTGTTGGGAGTAACATTCGGAATCTTTACGATACACGACTAAGTTTCATCGAATTTCACACAGGCTGTTTCATACTCCATATATCCTACAACTTTTATCCGACCGAATTATGGCAGATTTGTTTTTAATTGATCCTGAATCTTTTTCTAGTCATAATGAGAGGTGAAATTTGTCATTTAATAGATCTAATGCTATCGTGGTGCTATTTAAGTGTTACTTCACGGATTTTCGATTTTGAATCGCTTCTATTTGAATGATATGAGTGGCTATGAATTCTAGTATTTAACGGCATTTTCGCATAAGTGATGCAATTCTTGTATTGGATGAAATAAAGTAACTGTCACTTATGCAGGTCATCCATCTGATTGCTTTTGCTGAGCAGTTTCAGTCCTTGATAAGAACGATATCACCTGCGGCATATCGACCCAGTGATCATAGCGATTGACCTTGACTCATATCAATGCATACGTAATGTTTCCCTTATGTGCCGTGCCTTTTTACGCGTGCATCATGAAGAGATACTGATTGACACGAATATATTTGCACACTTGCAATTTCATTTATGTGATCACGCGATAACGTTAATGGCTTTTACTTTCTCATGACTGAAATTTATTTGTAACATCGGAGACGAAGCNAGTTGGATCAATTAAACCTGATCTGGACGGACATATTGATTATAAGCTTCAAATTATGGCATTTCCAAAACGTACATAATTCATGTATCTCTTACTGAAAATTTAAATGATGTGTTTTTGAAGTGATCGCTGATAAATTTATTGCAGATTTTTTAATCTTCATTAGGACGTTGTTTTTGTTGTACGTTGTATTGCTGTGTCTTTCTTCATTCCTACTGCCCAGACATGAATGAGTTGAGAAACCAAAATCAGTGTTTTTAGTTTGCACTGTAACAGCAAACAAATTTGAAATGCAAATGGATAATGCGGGACGTTTTCGATTGAATAATCCAACTTAGTGCTTGGAAAACGTTGCTCAAGAACTTGTCTTTATTCAACTGACTATTCGAAGTTCATATGATATTTCGTGCGATCAAAACCTTTGTATCAAAATTGTTCCAATCTAATACAAGAGATGTGACGCACTTTCCACGATAGATGACTGTTCACTGTGAGGTGAAAGAATTGTTATTTTCATGTCGAGGAGGCAGAAAATTTCAAATTAACTACACGATGTTCATCACGCCATAGTGGGAATAAGATCGAAAATTTATGTCTGTTTGCCAATATTGATAATGGTACTAAAATTTTGGTTAAAATTTG